TCACGTTCCGTCACTCATTTTACATTTCATATTTTAATTAAACCAGGGTACGTATGTGAATGGATAGTCCATACTGTCATAAGTAAGGGAAAAAAAGGATGGACAGAATCTACTGGGTTTTTGATATGGCAATATGTGCTTATTTCAACGGGAATATGGTTCATTTTAAAACGTCCGTACCGTGATTTGTAAGTATCATATATCATTCTACAATAGAAACCACGTACAGTACATGAGACAACATATCTTGGTGACAGTTCTCACTTATTATCAGAGGTTTTTTCGTGCTCTAATGCTGTAGGCCGCAGCTGGCCTTTACCGCTTCATCGGACGATAGTGGGCGAGTGCAGATGGCACTCCAAACCCACGGAAGGATGTATGAATTGCCTGAAGGCCAACTTACGCCTGATGTATATGACTTTAGTCTGATGCCACCGCTAGAGGTTCGAACCTCGGCTCAGGTCGTAATTTCGATCCCCGTTTGAATTAGACTGGGGATCGATCGGAGGGGATCAGAAGGGTCAAATTATTCACCGTTTAGAAAAAATATATTTAGATTACCTTGTTCAGGGTTGCACGTTCAAAACCGTTTTCTATTCTCCTTTAATCTTTCATTATCGCTCACAAATGCAATTAGTATAAGATACTTTGTTTATTTCACTTTGATGTTGATTGATTTTGTTTTGATGTTTTAATTAAAACACAATCTGTTTGATTGTCAATCTGTTAGGATACAAAAGCATAGTTTGTCCGCACAAAGAAATGTAGATGTCAACCAAAACACATGTTACAGAGCGATTCTTGGTAGGTTAATTGGCTGACGCAGAAATACAATACAGATGTACATATGAGTGTATATATTTATCTATACATATATAAATAAAATTGGAGTGTCTGTTTGTAATATTGAAATAATCGTTTTTTTTACACACCAAAATAATATTTTTTACAAAATTTGTCTGTCTGTTTGTTCTGGATAATCTTTGAAATGACTGGACCTAATTTGACGGGACTTTTTTTGGCAAGTATTCTAAAATATAAGTAGCCTAAGTTACTCCTTATTACATTAGTTACTTGTCAATAAAAGTACCGATAAAATCAGCCCAGCCATTTCATAGATTAGCCGGAACAAATAGAAAAATAGACAGACAGACAAAAAATGATATTTTGGCGTATGTACCGTATTTATATTCATATACATGTAGTAAAAAACTGTTATTTCAATATTACAAACAGACACTCCAATTGTATTTATACGTATAGATAAATTACATAAAATCGTAAATGTTGTAAACTTATAATCGATTTAGGAAAAAACCGTAAGTTCTATAAACTTTCTAACACTATTATTTCTATTAGGACGGGTACGAAATAGCATTTCTGCTAACGACTTTTATTGGACAAAGCAAACTCTTTGGGATTCTGACAATTGTCCTTTTGCCCCTGATATAAATGGGGAAATAAAGGAAAAAGGTATAGTTTGATAAAGTTTTCTATTTGCCGAGGGATTTTAGGGGATTTTGGTAGGTGTACGCTGTTAGTCGCAATTCTGAAGCTTTCCTTAACTGTGATCATGGTAATCATAAGCAGTACTGACTTGACGGTTAGTTACCTCGTTAGGTTCTTGGTTTGATTCCTGACGTGCGATTCCTCGCACTGTGCAAACATTTCTATTCATGAGTATGATTGTTTCTGTCGATTTCGATGTTTCTATGTAATATTATATGTTTACAAAAGTGTATTTAAGTATTTATATCAGTTGTCTAGTACCCATAACACAAGCTCAGCTTAGCTTAGGACTAGATGGCGCTGTATAATTTGTCATATTCAAATTTAAGTTGATTTTTTTTATTTGTGAAGTACAGGTAACAAAGGTGTTAGAATAAACATTTTGTATATATTACAAGGGGCATACAAATATACACTGACTGAAAATCAGCTCTATACAGCGTACGTGTAAACGTTACGCTCACAGCATCAGCTGAGTTAGCACCTTTTGCCCAGAATACGCAGTGTGGGAACTGTTGCTATTTTATGCGTGGTTTAAGAGGTTTTTTTTTATAGTTTTTGTTCAACAAATAGTGTACGAAAATATATATGTATCTTTTGTTCTAATAAATATTATTATTATTACTTTTAGTAAATATTTTCTACTTCTGACCGAGGATAGATTTTTGAACAAGTTTATATTAGATTTGACGAATATTGCTACTTCATAGATATCCAGGGTTATTTTAATTACTTAATTAGAATGATATTAGAAATAAAGCAGTCCTAGCTCAGCACAGTTGTTTGATCACATCACAGAAGACCGAAGAGCTGACAGCTACCTTGGACAAAGAATTAGTCTAGCTATTCAAAGAGGGAACGCTGCCAGTATCTTCGGAACTTTGCCTAAAGGGACCCCTTTTTAACAATATATTTTATTTATTACATTATATTTATTAAGCTTTTAAATTTTATGTTCTTAGTTGTTTAAATAATTCAAAGCACAAGGTTTGTAAATATATCTATACATATAATTAGGGTATTACATGTATAATGTACATACAATAAGTTGTTTGATTGACGTCTCCTTTGTACGAACACAATCTTTCTGACTATATCCTAATAATTTAAGTATTACTGTTTAGCAGCAATAATTTGCCAGCTTATAATCTCTCTTTAAACCTAAGTTTAATATTATTATATTTTAAAACGATTTATTTTTATGTTACAAGAAATAATATTGTACAAGAGGAAATAGGAATTGTATTGTACAAAAGGAATATTTGACTAAAACGAATATGTACTTTCATATAATTTGCAAACCATTATGCAAAAGGGGATAAAACCAGTTTATAATCTCCCTTTAAACCTAAGTTTAATATTAGCAAAAGGAGATAAAATAATAGCTTCTAAGAATATCTTTAAATTTTATCCTAAGTGCGAGACTAAGTAGCGTATTTTAAAATAGGCGGGTACAATAGATCACCGTGGGTCGCTGAAAATAGTCCAAACCTCCAATAAAGAAAAAATAAACATAATATTTATTATTATAATGATGTACAATCTCTTTTTAAATGATTAAGACCTGAGTTTCTTGGCAGATTTTCAGATAGAACTACGTTCGTGATTAATCAGATAATGTATAATTTAGATCCGCAACACGCGCGTGACAACGCTGGTTTTTTAGGCGTTCATATGCTATGGTGACCATTTACCATCAGATGGGATATATGTTTGATGGCCACCTTCTTTTCGAATATAGAATGATAGGGCGGGACTGCAGATGGCACTCAAAAGCCGCAGAAGGCTAAGGGACAACTCTTGCCTGACTTAGCTCAGGCCGTTATAATTTCTATCTCCGTTTGTATTGGATAACATACCTTTGACCTTCGTGATATAAAAAAATGTACCAAGGATGTACCCATGTGTTTGATTAAAAATATATATTACTAGCTGTCCCGGCAAACGTTGTTTTGCCATATAAATTAATAACGCTATAAAAAATAGGGGTTGATGATAGAAGGGTGAAAATTTAGGATTGTATGTATTTTTGTATGTTGTATCATAAAACAATAGAAACTAAAAATTTTGTCTAAAAAATAAAAAAAAATTTAGGGGTGGATTATTCCTAACATTTAGGGGGATGAAAAATAGATGTTGACCGATTCTCAGACCTACTCAATACGCTCACAAAATTTCATGAGAATCGGTCAAGCCGTTTCGGAGGAGTATGGGAACGAAAACTGTGACACGAGAATTTTATATATAAGATTCTTCTTGCTATGAGTCTACGTTCCGAATGAGTGGTAGAATAAAAAAATATGACTATTCAAAAGTGCTTATATTAAGTTTATGTGAACAAAGATCATTTTCTATTTTCTTTATTCACGATTTACATCTGCAAAGTACGATTGTCTTGCTTTTAGGACTGGCCAACTTTTCTTCATTATATTGCTGTCATCTCTAAAATTACAAAAGGCGGTTATTACGGGCTAATAAAAGAAATTTCAATGCTTTATAATGTCGGTCTGTTAATAAATTACATGGAATAACAATTCCTTTATTCCTGCATATTTAATATTTTGAGTAATGTATTCGTGCTTTTTGGTAGTTTGTATTCACATATATTTTAACTTAAAAATGTAAAGTAACAACGATTATTTAAAAGCGCAACACGCAAGTTTTTTGCTCGTTCTTCTTGTATATGTATTGTTTATATAGAAATAGAAATAATCTTTATTCAAATAAACTTAATATAAGCACTTTTGAATAGTCAAGTTTTTGATTCTACCGCTTATTCAGAATGCAGACATCACAAGAAGAATAAGCAAGAAACTTGTGTGTTGCTCTTTTAAATAAATATTGATTTACTTATATTTAATTAATAAAAAGGATTAGGCATGCGACAATCAACATAGAAACTGCTACGCACTTAATCTCTGTTCAATCAGATAACATTGTCAGCGCTATGAATTTTAAGTGATATATTTTCTACAAAAACATTATTATCATTTATAAATTCTTAAATTTTATAAGAAGCTTTTTTACAAAGAAAATATTTTGAATTTTTTTTCTGGCAAATCTACACTTCATGTTGACGGCCTCGGTGGTCTAGTGATTTACACCGCCTTACTTCCGATGGTCGCGGGTTTGATGCCTCGCTCGACACAAAGCTGAATATATGTGAATTCATGAGTATGGTTGTTTGTATCGGTATGTATTTACATAAATGAAAAAAACATATTTATGTATTTGTATCAGTTATCTAGTACCCATAATACAAGGTTTAGTTAGCGTTGGATCTAGATGGCGCTGTGTAAATTGTCCTAAGATTATTATTATTGTTATGTATGCAATATGTTTGTAATTAAATTGGTAAATTGATGAATAAAGATTTTATCTATTTCTATCTTGTGATCAGACAATTTACGATTTTTTAAAAGTGCTTAAATTTAGGTTTATTTGAATAAAGAATTTTATTCAATGAAATAAATACAATTATTTTATTTCAGACACCTTCAGTGCCCACAACCTCGTGACCACACTGTGACAACAACACGTGAGTGTATATATTGTAGATATAGTTAATTATGATATTCCAATGCCAACAATAAGTAAATCATTTGCATAGTAGGTTCAGTAGTTTTTGCGTGAAAGAATAACAAATGGGGACAGATGTTTGTATTCTGCCTTCCATACTTGTTGCAAAATCTTTGCATATTTTTCTATAAATTTTGAACGTATTTTCTTTATGGAATTATCATATATTTTTATTATCATCTTTTGCCTTGCTACTGTTTGTACACGTATCTTCAATATGAGTATTTACAATTTTCTATCCGTTTTTGATTTATAAAACGCGTCTGTCTCTTTTACAACAAACTCCAAGAGTCTGTAGTCAATTTGCCAGAAAAATAATTCAAATATGTTATGAAATATTTTCTTTGTAAAACAGCTTATAATAAAATTGAAGGGTTTATAAATGATAATAATGTTTTTGTAGAAAATATCTAACTAAAAATTCATAGCGCTGACATAGCGCTGTCTTCTTGTGATGAATCTGCATTCCGAATAAGCGGTTGAATAAAAAACACTTGACTATTCAAAAGTGCTTATATTAAGTTTATTTGAATAAAGATGATTTCTATTTCTATTTCTGTATGTCCACTCATTCTGTCGCCCACAATATTCTCGCGTTTGCAAGACAAGCAACATTGTGATATGATGTGTCTGATTTAAATTTATTCATATATTACTAGTTCTATCTATGGGTGACATAAAACTTATTGTTACCTACAAATTATTAATTCTAATTATATTCACAGTCGCTACATTTTATCATTTTACTCCAAGGAATTGCGGCTAAATCAAAACAATGTTTATTTTTGTAAAACGCGAGGTTATGACAGTATGAAGGGTCAAAGTTGACGTTTTCCTTAAACCTTTTTTCTAACTAAAACAATAGCTAACGAATGTTTTATCTTTGATATCCTTTGATATATACTTTCATATTCTTAGGTTGTTTTCTTTTTATTCTTGAACTAGCTGTTCACGCGAATTCGTCCGCGTGGAATTCAACTTCATTTTTCTAAAATAAAAGTAGCCTAAAGAACAAAAAAAATATTTTATACGTCTTAATTTATTAGTTCTATTAGGTACGAATGGGTTCAAACTAATACATTTACATCCTGCATCATCCCTTATTTTATCCCCATGGGGGTTGAATTTATCAAAATCCTATTTAAGCGAATGTCTTCATCACATTAACTTCAATCTTTAATTTCAGTTCAATCAGTCGAAAATCTAAGAAGATTTATACAAACTTTCATCCCCTATTTTATCCCCTACAAAAATGAATTGCTGTTCGTTAGTGCTAAAACTCGAGAACGCCTCAACCGATTTGGCTAATTTTAGTCTTAAAATATTCGTGGAAGTCCAGGGAAGGTTTAAAAGGTGATACAATATGAAGAAATTGCATGTAAATAGCAAAAAGAACCATTATATTTTCCCATACAAATTGCTGATACCTGTCAAACAATGTGCGTTCAGAAATTTATTGCGTAACTAAATTTCAAAAAAACCTTTGATATATTTAATTTTGTGGCGAAACGGAGTACGCAGGTGCTAGTTATAAATACAATTTAGTTATGCTAATTATATTTAGAAACTATATGAAAACAAACGGGTCTACCTGAAATATCAATTGACTATCTCTGCCGGTATCTATTTGAGCCTCCAATTTGCATGTTTAATATTTTGTGCGCCTTTCGTTCAGAATAATATCGCTAATATTAAAGTTATGGATTCCCGTAGTCTCAACTTTGTCACGGAACCAATAAGTACTGTGTAACTTAATTACAAGTTGGTTAAGTCACCAGCCTTATGGGACAACGCTCGTAATGTCGCCCTATAGCTTGATATCAATATAGCTTAAGTTATTTAATAGTATAGTAATTTTTTTTACTGTATTAAGTCAAGAAACAGTGTGGATAATGTATATTGCAAATTCCATTCAAACATTCAATCCCTATTTTATTTTACCCCCTTAAAGCATAAAATTTATTTTTTAGGCTATTAATTATTTATAAATAAATATGTCATTCAAAGTTTGTATAAATGTTACCCTTATACAAACTTTGAATGACATATTTATTTATAAATAATTAATAGCCTAAATAATAAGTTTTACGCTCTAAAAATGACGATACTTCCATACAAACGTACATCTCTTATAAAGTAAAAATAATTAATAATCTATGACTATTCACAAGTGCTTAAATTAAGTTTTTTTGAATAAATGTTTTTCTATTCTATTCTAAAACCAAAAAAGGCAAAGAAATACGTTTAATCTTTCTAGCTTTAAAAGTGACTAATTTCCATACAAATTTTTATCTACCTTTTCAACCCTTACAACCCTGTGTGTAACTTAATTACACGTTGGTTAAGTCACCAGCCCCGTGGGACAACGCACGTAATGACCCCATATTACATAGCTTGAGTGAGGTATTAAATAGTATAATAGTTTTTTTACTACATTGGGACAAGAAAGATTGTGGATAATGCAAATAACTTAGTTAAGAAAACAGTATATGCTTACTTTTTTACTAATATTATAAACGCGAAAGTGACTCTGTGTGTCGCGATTTCATGCTAAAATTACTGAACTGATTTAAATGAAATTTGGTACACAGAAAGTCTAGAAACTGGGAAAGGATATAGGTCACTTTTTAATGCAATAAAAGCTAGAAACTAAAAAACTTATTTTTTAGGTTGATTGGCTATTGATTGAATATAAATAAAGAAATTTTGTTAGGTTGTCATGATTTTATTGATTGAATATAAATAAAGAAAAGGGATTGTATTGATTTTATTGATTGGTATTAAAAGAAATGGGGTTGAAAGGGGAGATGAAAGTTTGTATGGAAGTATTGTCATTTTTAAAGCTAGAAACTTAAAACTTATTTTGTTAGGTAATGATTGAATGTATATACAGAAAAAGGGTTGTATGGGGTTGAAAGGGGAGATGAAAGTTTGTATGGAAGTATTGTCATTTTTAAAGCTAGAAACTTAAAACTTATTTTGTTAGGTAATGATTGAATGTATATACAGAAAAAGGGTTGTATGGGGTTGAAAGGGGAGATGAAAGTTTGTATGGAAGTATTGTCATTTTTAAAGCTAGAAACTAAAAACTTATTTTGTTAGGTAATGATTGAATGTATATACAGAAAAAGGGTTGTATGGGGTTGAAAGGGGAGATGAAAGTTTGTATGGAAGTATTGTCATTTTTAAAGCTAGAAACTAAAAACTTATTTTGTTAGGTAATGATTGAATGTATATACAGAAAAAGGGTTGTATGGGGTTGAAAGGGGAGATGAAAGTTTGTATGGAAGTATTGTCATTTTTAAAGCTAGAAGCTTGAAACTTATTTTATTGGCTATTGATTGAATATAAATAAAGAAAAAGGGTTGTATGGGGTTGAAAGGGGAGATGAAAGTTTGTATGGAAGTATTGTCATTTTTAAAGCTAGAAGCTTGAAACTTATTTTATTGGCTATTGATTGAATACAAACAAGGAAAAAGGATTTTAAGAGGTTGAAAGGGGAGATGAAGGGTTGTATGGAAGTATTGTCATTTTTATAGCTAGAAGCTTGAAACTTATTTTTAGGCTATTGATTGAATATAAATAAAGAAAAGGGATTGTAAGGGGTTGAAAGGGGAGATGGAAAATTTGAATGGAAGTATTGTCATTATTAAAGTTAGAACTTATTTGGAAGTATTGTCATTTTTAAAGCTAGAAACTAAAAACTTATTTTGTTAGGTAATGATTGAATGTATATACAGAAAAAGGGTTGTATGGGGTTGAAAGGGGAGATGAAAGTTTGTATGGAAGTATTGTCATTTTTAAAGCTAGAAGCTTGATTCTTATTTTGTTATGTATTGATTTATTGTATATACAGAAAAAGGGTTGTATGGGGTTGAAAGGGGAGATGAAAGTTTGTATTATTGTTTTATTGTCATTTTTAGAGCTAGAATCTTAAATCTTATTTTGTTGGGTAATGATTGAATGCATATACAGAAAAAGGGTTGTACGGAGAGATAAAATTTAGTATGGAAGTATTATAATTTTTAAGCTATATGGTTAAAAAAAATTTTTAGGCTGTTGATCAAATATAACTAAATTAGATTTTTAGTTTCATTGTAAAAACCCTCGATTATTAGATATTAAATATTTTTTCGTTAGATTATTAAATATTTTTTCTTTATGTGATTAAGGTCACTATAACACACAGAAAGTCGCGGGCACAGCTCGTATGTAATAGATATAATTTTAATATATTTACCTCTCCCGAAGAAATTGTTACATAAACACAAGTTAATAAATATTATTAAAATTGATTTTTTTCGTACTTTCCTGATGTGCTCGGTTCATAATGTAGTTATGTTTATTGTTTTTCCAATAAACATTGATCCCCCAATATAAACTTGCCGGGATTGCTTTCGGATTCCCCCGGCTCTAATACGTTGTCCCGCAAAATTCCTTAATAAGGTACGCATTGTATACAGGATTCCTTACATCGTCTCTTGAGAGAAATTAAAAAGATTACCTCGTATGTCGAACTGTAATGTTAGTCGACATCACAGAAGACCGAAGAGCTGGCAGCTACCTTGGACAAAGAATTTGTCTAGCTATTCAAAGAGATCTGAAGAGGTCTGGGTGTTTTCTATGTATAATATGTATGTATTTACAAAAAATCTATATCTATGTATATATATCAGTTATTTAGTACCCATAATAATCTTTAGCTAGCTTAACTTGGGTCTAGATGGCGTTTTGTAAAAGAAAACAATGTGCCATGATTCCATGTTAGTAGACATACCGAATTGAGCGAGGCTTACCTTTTGGATAGTTAGATAAGTTATTTATTCAACAATTATAGACACACATAATAATATAAGTACAGAAAAATACATGAACAAGTAAAAGAAATGCATTAGAGTAAGCATTAGAGTGGTCCGAACAAATATTCTTTTCTTTCTGGTTATATAAAGTGTCAATATA